TTACTTCATATGCATGTGAAAGCTGGACAATGAATAAGGAAGACTGCAGAAGAACTGATGCATTTGAATTACAGTGTTGGAGAAGAATATTGAAAAGTATCATGGACTGCCAGAAAAACGAACAGATCTGTTTGGGAACAAGTAGAGCCAGAATACCTTTTAGAAGCAAGATGTATGAGACTTCTCACATAACTTGGATAAGGCATCAAGGAGTGACCAATCCCTGAAAAAAAACAAACAAACCCATTATGCTTGGCTAAGTAGAGGATCAGTGAAAAAGAAGACCCCCTAATGAGATGGACTGACACTGGGGGCTGCAACAATGGGCTCAAAAACAACTGTGAGGATGGTGCAGGACTAAAGCAGCATTTTGATCTATTGTACATAGGATACTATGCATTGGAGTAGACACAATGGCACAATAATAATAATATGCATGTATACTGTTTTTGGAATCCTGGTGTGGGGCTGTAGGATCAGCACTGTACTGCTTATCACAGGTCAGTAGTTCAAATCTACCAGCTGCTCCTCAGAAACCCTATACAGGGTCACTATGAGTCAGAACTAACCATACAGTACTTAACAATAATAACATGCTGTTTTCAGAACCTGCTTTTTCAATTCTTATATCATCAAAGTTTGTCTGGTTTATTAAAAACATCTTATTAATAGCTGCATAGAATTTCATTATATGGATGTGGTTACATTTGTTTTAAAAAAATCATATAATTTGCTTAATTATGATCATGTGGACTGGAAAAACAAAATTTATTAAAGGAATAGAAATAATACCAACCAACACATGATAAAAATAATTAACAGCAATTTTTTACTTTGACTTTGGAATATAGCCAACACAAATAGCCTTCCCACATCAAAACCAGCTCTGACCACACCCCTGCCCTCTACCTTCCGTACCAGCTGTCACCAAGCTGGAATAAGGATCAATTTGTAGGACCAGGTGAAGTGGTCTGGATCACAGCAATTGAGGTGAGTCATGGCTTACTAGAAGAAATTTGAGGGTAGTTAGTTGGATCTCTTCCAACTTTTTTAGACAGATGAAATATTTCCACCAATAGATTCATTCCTGAAAATCAAGTGCTGTCCCTTAAAGAAATATAAATACCCTTATTGTTGTTAAGTGCTGGTGAGTAGATTCCAATTCACAGTGACCTATATTGGATTTCTGAGAGGGGCTGGGGGGTTTGAGTCACTGAATTTGTGGTTAGCTGTCCAGTGCTTATCCAATAGCACCACACCAGGGCCCATAAATACCCTTAAGAAATGTAAATACCCCTGGGATGAGCAGGCGTGTGTATAAAATGACTTTTAACCTTTTTGTCAGTTATCATCAAAGTCCTGGTTTGGCACTGCAGGGTAAGCAGTGGACTGCTTACCACAAGGTCTGCAGTTAAAACCCACCAGCCACTACTCAGAAACCCTACAAAGGATTGCTATGAGTTCGCACTGACTTGACAGCGCTCAATAAGAACAACATGGCGGCCCCATGTGTGGCAGTGTAGAACTGCTCCAGAGGGTTTTCAGGGCGGTGATCTTTCAGAAGCAGATCAGTAGACCTGTCTTCTGAAGTGTCTTTAAGTGGATGTGAACAAACAACCTGCCATTTGGAAATTGATTATACTACTCAATGACTCCTCGGAATGTGTATATCTAAAAACGTTCCTTTACCCAGCGAGAGACCTTGACAACTTGGGATCTTGAAATCCCTGAAGGTTCAGAGTTCTCTAGAAGCCTGTAAAGGTATGGATCTGGAGGCAGAAGTCCTGCAGACAAACCATCTCAGCTTGGATTATTTTAAAAGCAATGTCAATGAAATGTATGTTCAACATGAAAATGCTGATACAGCAGGCAAACGTTGTTTTATATATATATATATTTGTATATATGTATATATCTCACAAAGGAAAATGGTAAATCCTGAAAATAAACAATAGTCTTGCATAGTTAAGATTGGGAGAGAATAAAGAAAGAAGCATGTCTGATTTCTTTGTTTCCTCTCAGCAACTGCGCTGACTGGGATCAAGGCATTGCTTCCCTGTCTCTACTCTGGATTTCATTTTCCATTTCTCTCAAGCCTCTGAACCTGGCTGAACTCATCTCCCAACTTAACTCCTTTCTCTTTTTGCTTCAATTCCTTATCTTGGCTAATGACACCATTAGTTGTTCAGTTGTCAAAGGTTAGTGACTTCATAACCAAACTAGTCACCAATTCTTGTTGATTTTGTCTGTGGACTATTTCCTCTTTCTCAAACTCAGCCCTAACCAGACTCTCCCATCCAACCCCAACAATGTGGCCAGAGGGGGACCTTTCTGAGAGTGGCACCGATTATGTCACACTGGTGCCCAACTGCCCTCTATGATGCCTAAACTCTTCAGCATGGCATACAATGATCTTCACAACCTTGCACCAATGTATTTTAATCTTATTCTCCACATCCCTATGGTCCAGACATACCAGCTGAACACCCCTTGCTTTACAGACCACCAGACCTTTGTACTTGCTATTCTACATTCATTTGGATGGGTTTCCCAGTCTCAGCTTAGCAAACTCTTATTTATTATTCAGGAACACCCATGGAACTTTGTAAAATTGTCTGTCTTCTCACTTAGATTGTGAACTTCTATAGAGCAGGAGACATATCCCTGGATTTAGCACGGTGCACAAAGCCAGCAGACACTTAACCAACAATTGCCAAATTAAATAGCTAGTGCATTCAGTACTTCATATGGTACCTATATACATACTACTCTGCATTGCAATCTTTTTATGTGTATGAGGTATGACCAAGTTGTGCTGTGACTCATTATTTGACAAGCATACCAGAATGCATATATCCAAATGAAGGGCGCTTCTTCAAAGCCTTCACCTTGAGAGGTTGGATATTAGTTCAACGATATTGTCAGAGCTCAAAACATTTTTGGAGCTCCTGTCTTGGAAACAACTTTGCTATTCATAGCCTGTTCTTTTCAATATCCTTCTCAGTAGCAAGAAAACTTTTCCTTTCATTCATTTAACCACCATTATGCACTTCTCTATCCAGGCACCACACTGGTGATGTGTGCATTTATGATAAGGTAATCACACATTTATCCAGAAAGGAAGTTTCTGTTTGGTTGGGGAGAGAAAAGCTGGACAATCACTGCAATACAAGGTTAAGTAATAATGCTCTTTAAGAGGCTGGACTTGATTTTTCGAAAAAGCCAAAAGTCCTTTGGTTTCAAAGCCTGCAAACAGGTGGATGCGTTGCGTGGCAACACCGTTTTAAGCCAATTTCTAATAACGATTTACAAACAAAAGCTCAATGTGTTACCAGCACTACCAACCATTTCCCAAGACAAAACTACTAAATTCATTTGTCATGTTTGTTTAATCTTTTCTATACACCAAGTCAATTATAAGCTCTTTGAAGGTAGTTAGGTGTTCAGCTCTTATCCTTCGTTATTATTTTCACAGCACCTAGTGGGCACATAATATGCTTCGGATAAATATCCATTGAGTTACTGAGTCCAAAAGAGTCTTATGCTGTACCTATACGAATTTCACACAGCTTGCCCCACGTGGTTTAGCCGCCGTAGTGACAGCTTTATGGATCCCCACGGGACAGAACTGAAAGGCACAGAACCGAAAGGACCAGCGCCGGAGAGGGCAGGCGTGGGGCACTGGCGACGGACCCGGGAGTAGAACCCGGGAGTTCCTGCTTCCTGGTTCCCCGGAGCAAGTGTCCTTTGGTGGGAGCCGCGGGGACGGGAGCAGCCCTTCCTGGCCCGGCCTTTCAGCGACTAGTTGAGTGCCCAAGGACGCCGGCCCGCAGCCTGGGATACCGGAATTAGCCCGGAGAGACTTAAGGGCCTTGTCCGCCAACGGGCACCTCTGCCCTGCTTACTAGCAAGGTTTTCAGCTCTTGAGAAAGAGAATCGGGGGCTCCACCGGGAGAGGAGGGAACAGGGAGGACTTGGGGTGGAGGGAAAAGTTGGAGCCGAGAAACCAAAGGACAAGCATATATACCCGGGAGCGGCAGAGGCCGGATTCAGAATGTGCGGGGCTAACGCTAGGGTCGCCTGGCGCCGGCCCAGCCTTCCTTTCCGCGCCCCTCCTCCCGCGCCCGCCGGCTCCCCTCCCCC